CAAAGGTACATGCTGTTAGTCAATAAGAGTTGGAAAGCAAAGGTGAATTCTAGTTTAGCAGTCTGCTACCTCTCTGCTACCATGGGCAACAGTTTCCTGTATCTCCTTACATAAAGAAATCAACTTTCACTGTAAAACTCGTTGTGTCTTTCTGCCCTTATTCACTCCTATTCAATACATTAATACTAGTAGAAAAAATGTATTTTAATTTCCAACCAGTAGGATTTACTAAGCTTAAATTATTGCTTTCTTTCTCTGGCATGTAGCCCAACACACAGAATGGGGGAAAGAGGATGTCATTGCCTTTTGTAAGTGCACCAAACGTAAATAAGCCACTGCTTATTAGACAGGTTCTCCTCAGCATCTATGGTAGTCCATCTTGAACCGAGATGATCAGACTGAGATCATACCAGAAACTTGCTTAATACATGGAAGGGTCAAACCTTACCTTTTTGTGATCCATTAAATGGATGTTCAGTAGCTAGCCTGTAGTTAAACACACTTGGGGGCTTAACTGTCTTTCAAATTACTGAACTCACAGACGGTAGCAGTATTCTTGTTACTAGTCCTGAAGGCCATGTCACACGCTCTTTCCTGTAAATTTCATCCCAGCTCTAGCAGTTTTAAAGTCATCTAGTTTGGCTCTTCGGTGCCATCTATATTAATCATACCTTGCAGCTTTCGGTCGTCAGCAGCTTCTTACAATGACCATACTTTCGTAAGTTAACCATTCTTGAGTGTATTTACAGTTCTCTAAAGTACAAGAAAAAAGTTTAGGTTGTGCATTCACTTAAGAGTTCTGCCTACACTTAGCAAGTTAAGTTCCTTTTGCTGGAAGCATCTTTATGTAACACCTCAGTGAAGGTGGAATGTGCAGGGTGTTTTAGCAAGTGTAGCTAGAGAATGTGAAGCAAAATGTTGGCCTCAAGGCTTGAGTAGAGGGAATTAGCACACGGTGAAGTTGACCAGTACAGACACACCCAGACATGAGAAGAAAGAATGTAGAATGGGAATCATTGCCTGCCTTTCATAAACTGAAGACGAGTTATTCAAACCACAAAAAAAAAAATATTAAAAAATCTTCTTAAGTATAAAGCACGACAAATGGTCTTATCTTCCCATGGGTATAGGGACATATACAGAATGCTTAAATGTGGTAACAGACCAGTACATAGCTCTGGAAGAGCTACTTCTTTTCACTAGGAATTAACTAAAATATCACTGTTCTCCTTTATTAGCACGATTTAGTACTGATAGCAGTTGTTGAGCTAAAGCACGGACCTTAAAGTTCAAGCTAGTTTACACTGCTCAAGAGATCAGAAAGATACAAAAAAGTAGAAGTGGTTTATTATACAGAAGGCTTTAATGTGATTTAAATTAATAAGCATGAGACTAGCATATTTTCAGGCAAAGGAAATTAATATTCAAAAAATATGAATATGTAGACTTAAGCACGAGGTACTCAAAGAATTTAGAGAATGTGAAGACTGTTCACCACTGGCAAAGAGGGCTGGTATGACTGAAGACTACATTCAGATCAGTATGTTAGACAAAACAGGACATTGCTAGACCTTTTGGGAAGCTATGAAAGGAACCCATAGGCCTTTTGAGAGAAGGGGGTGTTCCTGGACTTTCTGATGAATAAGCTGTCCCCAGCAGTTTCCTATCCTTCACACTTTCCAACTGATGACTTAAAGAGCCCTACAGGTGGCATAAAAGAGCCCTACAGGTGGCATTAGATGTCAGTTCATTACTAGCTCTGCATAGCTGTAGCATTTCTGAGTCCTTGCCATTTGCCCTGCTGAATGCTACACTCAGTCTGCCTCCCAGTTTGGTCTTGAAGTTTCCTTGTCCAATCTTTCATCATTCCTTCTCCAAATGCATCCTTTCATCATTTCTTTCCCCAGTTTCCAAGGGTAATACATAAGGTTGCTGTTGGGTCTCCCTGAAGCCTTCCCTTCTCTGAGCTGAACAACCCCAACTCCCTCAGCCTGTCTTCACATGGGAGGTGCTCCATCCCTCTGATCATCCTTGTGGTCCTCTTGGCTCACTCCAACAGGCCCATGCCCTTATGTTGGGGGTCCCAGAGCTGAGCACAGTGCTCCAGGTGGGGTCTCAGGAGAACAGAGCAGAGGGGGAGAATCACCTCCCTTGACCTGCCAGCCACACTTCTTTTGATGGAGCCTGGGATACGGTTGGCTTTCTGGGCTGAAATTATAATTAATAATAATTATACATACATACACCGATATAGTACAATTATATAATAAAATATGGTATGATATGATATGATATAATGTAATTAATATTCATCAAGGCTGCTCTCAGTCCCTTCTCCACCCTGCCTGTGTTTGTGCTTGGGTTTGCCCCAGCCCAGGTGCAGGACCTTGCACTTGGCCTTGTTGAACCTCATGGGGTTCACACAGGCCCACCTCTCCAGCCTGCCCAGCTCCCTCTGGATGGCATCCCTGCCCTCCAGCCTGCTAACTGCACACACAGCTTGGTGTAACTGGCAAACTTGCTGCAGGTGCCCTCAATTTTCACTGTCCATGTCACCAACAAAGATGTTAAACAGCACCGGTCCCAACACTGCCCCCTGAGGAGCACCACTAGTTACTGATCTCCACCTGGACATTGAACCATTGACCACAACTCTCTGATTGCGACCATCCAGCCAATTCATGACCCACTGAGTCATCCATCCATCAAATGCACGTTGCTCCAATTTGGAGACAAGGATATCACTGGGGACAGTGTCAAATGCTTTGCACAAGGCCAGGTAGGTGATGTCAGCTGCTCTTCCCCTATCTACCATTGCTGTAACCCCACCGTAGAAGGCCAGCACATTTGTCAGGCACACTAACTCCTTGTATGTTAGCTGAGCTTCTGTAACCCACGTTATTCCTTTTGTCTTATGTTACAAAATTGGCCTTGCAGCAATACCTCTAAGAGTATTAGTTATCTGGTTATGGGAGATAAGGGGTCATAAAAGAAGGAATTGTCTCTGAATTTTGAGACCAACACCTCATCAATCATCAAAATCCATAGTCTATTCATTTGTCTGCCTTGGTGAGTTTGCTACCTTATTGTCTAGGATCCATGAAGTGTCTTGAAGATTGAATGTGGCCCAGGTCTTGAGTACCTTTTATTAAAAATAAACTTTTCACTTTCATCTGCTTGAAATTTAATCACACTTCTAACTTCTCTTTGTAGCCCACAAGGGTTACAAGGCTAATGCAAGTTGGGAGCACCAAGTAGGAACATTTTTTAAGTAAAAAAAAAAAAAAAAAAGGAACCCCATGGTAAATTGTTACAGGAGTGTTTTGTATAACTAACATGCTTTCAACACTTCCTGATGCTGAAATATCATCAAATATTATCAAGTGCTGGACCACAGAGGCCAACACTCTCAGCATGAGAGCAAACAGGCACTGAAAACAAAACAGCAATGCCTGTGTTTAATTAAGCACATGAGAGGAATGTTCTAAATAATAGAGTAAATGATAGAAGACTAAATGATAAAGATCAACAGTGTTTCTACTCCTTCATGATTTTTTAAAACGGCTTCTGACAAACTGTCCTAGCAATTTCTGCCCCACATTCCCCACAGTGACCAATACTGGAGATCAAAAGGGATCAAAGGTCTCGGTGCAGCCCTATAGCACAACATGAAACAAAGAAAATTACAGAACTGCATACAAGCTTATGCTTAGAAATCACAGACATGACAGCTGAAGAAACCAATCAGACTAGTTTGGAGGGGAGAGAGAAAAAGATTTTCTCATTCTTGATGCATTTTGCAGAGCCTTATTCTGGAGCTCTTTGTCCATCAGTGACAGACAAGGTTTCATTCACCCTTCCCTGCCTGCAGCTGTCACTTTGGCAATAACTCAAGGCACTAGCTTTGTAGGAGCTGTTTAAATATCACTTTGTTGTGGCACTGCAAGGGAAAAATAACAGGACCTGAAGTCTCCCAAATTAACATATTACAAGAGCTGCTACAAGAGCTGCTGGCAACTGATATCAAAACATTTGTACAGTGTCCCTTCTGTGTGGTTCAATAAATGCAAATTATTTTCATTATTCCATTTAAATGAAAGGTCACATGAGTATTTGGATGAAACAATGTTCAAGGATGTTACCAATATTAAAAGAATCGGATTACACGTTTGAGTTACTATAAGGGCTACACCTGACCCAGGTCTGGATGAACTCAGTTACACAGAAGAAAAAAAAACGTCAGTGTGTTTGAGGGCAAAGCCTCATTGGAGTGTGTTTAGAAATTCCTGTCCCTTACCTGGATGTTGAACCACACAAAGGAAAGGCAAAGTGAAAATGGCTCTTCCATTGCAAGCCAAGGACAGTGGCTTTCACCTAAGCAAATAAGGCTGTCTTTGTAGTGAAGCCTTTAGGTAATGCTCACACAGACTGATCTGGCAGCTCTGCCAGATAATTGCATCCCTGACTGCCTCAAGATCATTTCAGGATTTAGGCTCCTTTGGGAGCCCACTCAACCTCCTCTGGTCGCCTAACCTCCACGTCCACAAGCAGGGACTGCAGATGCCCTGGGGGCTGGGCTGTCTTAGCCAGCCATACTTCAGCACACTCAGTACTGAGCAGCTTTGGGATCTGCTTGCCTTTGTGAACAAGCAGCTATTCCCATTTTGAGACAGCATAAGTGAACACAACAGCGATTTTGCTACAGGAAATCGTTCTTTCTCCCAGAGACCTGTTCAGATGAGAGATGGCCTGATAGAAAAGATGCACTTGGATAAGAGTCAGGGTTCAATTTCTAGCTGTGTTACAGATTTCCTGCCTGGAGCTTGGCTAAGTTGTTCAGTCAGTTCAGGCCTCACATTAATTTAGCGGGTCTGTAGTATGGCTAATGGTATTCCCTCTATTCGCAGGAGAATTGTGTGGATAAATACATTAAACACTTAATGTGGTTCTCAGATGTTATGGTGAAAAGAAGAAAAAGATTACACAAACCAACAAGTAAAGCCAATATTCAGGACTTGCCTTTACTTTGTAAAGCAGAGCCATACTGATGGGTGATTCAAACACTTCCTAATAGATGTTCACCCCCATCTGCAAATTAAGTGCCTTATCTACTGATAGAGAACAGCTGACAGCGAGAAGTACAATGAAATGTGTTGATAGCAGGGCTTGGCATGAGAAACTGGCAGCAGAGGAACTATGCTAATGCAATCATGTTGTTTCCAGTTGCTGCAGAGGAACGAGAATTTGTTAATTCACGTTGCTTGGCTCTGTCGATTTAGTGTCAAGAGCTGGCAAGAAGATGGATGCAGTAAGAAAACATTTACTTCAGGCTGGATACTGCTATTCTGAAAGGTTGGTCTGTTGGCACCTGGCTGCTTATGGTATATTTTGATACGGTTATGATATAAATTAGTTCTGGTCTTTGGACTCATTAAAATATTTAATGTGAAAAGTGTTTAGGTGTAGCCGCTGGCGATGACTTAATACTGATGCTGACAAGGAGTTTCCTTGGGGGAAAGGAAAGGTTACGTGCAGCCTTATAACACAGCTGCATATATAACATCCAGGAGCGCTGCGGGGAGCAGCCAGCCCTCACTGCACCCTGACAGGGGCACAGCACGGCATCTTCCTTCTGGCTCCTCTTCTCCAGAGGTTACTGCCTGCACAGCAGAGCTGGCCTCAGGGGAAAGGTTTTTCTTCTCCACCGCTCCATCCCACCAAGATGCACAGCACCATGGCTAAGGCACAGGCACAGCCAAGTGTGTCTGTCCAAGCACGGCGCTGCCTATGTGCCAGCCTCACCTGAGCAAAGCCTGGTGGAGAAGCCAAATTTCCCCTGGGGCGACGTGGAGATCAGACTATGAAATCTCCTTGCTGCATCTGCTGTGAGCAGTGAGCATGGGATGAGCATAATGCTGGCCAGGTTACATTTCTGTGGGGTCTTCAAGAGACCTGATTCTCAAGCAAATGGTGTACAGGCACCCTGACAGGCTTAAGAGGATGAAGTACAACTTGGTAACAGAATAACCTTCTGTGGATTTGGTCTCTGCAGTTGAGCTAATGCAGCACAAATAGATTAGACACAACAACAGGAGCCAGGAACCTCGTAATTCCTACACCCGCTTGCTCATACAGCCACAGGAAGGGGTGCTGCGCTGAGCACAATCTGAGCACCACAGCCACAGAGGAAAAATCAACTCTGCTTGTAACCCTTGGGTTACCGGGGGATATCAGCAGCCCTGCAGCTCTGTCCAGACCACGTTGTCCAGACCATGTTGTTCTGCAGGGATGCTCCTGGGAGCCTCTAGTCATGGATATGGCAGCACCGTGCTCCACGCTGAGCAGCATGGACTTCTCCTTGTGCCTTGCTTCTCTACTTCTGGTGTGGGCACTGACGATCACAGCAGCATACTTTCATGTTTCTCACAGCTGAGGGGATATAATGTTAGCAGCTACTCTCTTAATTAAAAAAAAAATCTTGTATTTCCAGGTTGTTCACAGAAATTAGGTGTGAGAAGAAAGGAACCAGGGAGAGCAGGTGAAGGAGGCAGCCTTGGTAGGCAATGGCTGTAATAGATATTGGGTAATTTTCAGCTGTAGTATTTAATTCTAGTGAGAAATGCAAAGGAGTTTTGGCACTAGCTCCAAAGGCTAGGTGTTTGTTGCATTAATTAAATAGTAATTAGGAAAAAGCCCACAACGCATACACATACATTTACCCTGTTGGTTGTCACACCAATTCCTAGCAGTGCTAAGGCCTGCAAGGAAATCACAAACATTCAAGACTTGCTTCTGGTTTTTAATTCCCAACAGAGTTACCCAGTAGCATAAAGGATGGAATAACAGTTGATTCAGCGTACTCATTTTATAGAAAATGTTACACACTTTATAAAACATTTTATTGATTTTTTTTTCTGCCTTCTCTGCTCCGCAAACAACATAAAGAATTATATATCAGTGTGTGCGGAGCAGTAAAGAAATGCATGTTCTGTACGTCTGGGGTTTTAATGGTGCTGCCAAGTGCAGCATGTGGAGAGCACAAATGCTGAACCAAATTTCCAGTTTCATTGGAAGCCACACATTTTTAAAAAAGTCCATTCACATTTCCTACTAAAAGTTGGCTGCCTTCCTCATGCAGACATTACAGTCGTTTTACATATTTTATTTTTTTTTTTAGGAACAAGCTATTCCTTTAAACTTAAGGGAATACAGGTGCAGAATGTGTGTCAGGGTCCTGTAGCAAATATATTTAATGACACCCTGAATAACAAGTTCAACCTGAACTCTGAGTATGTCAAGGAGCAGTATCAACATTACAATACAACTTTCTAGACTGAACTCACTGTGTCATTTTTTAAACAAATAATAATAATAGAAAAGCCCTCCAAAGAATATCATCTGGAGGAGTTGACTCCATGAAGGTTTAAATTCATCCAGTTTAGTGACCCACTCTATTGCTTTTATTTCCCCTTGTTGGTTTGCATCTGGCATCTGGGGATAAGGAAAATAAGAATCAAATACGCTGCAGGATCCTATTGACTTTTTCTGTCAAACTCTAATAAAAAGAGCTGAAACACTGATATGAAATGATGGGAATTCAGGAAATAGAAAGGAAATTAAAAGCTGGAATTCACATTCTGCCTGTATTGTGTGCTTTTGGCCACACTTACTCCAGGAGCTCGCAATGACTATAGCAATATCCAAACTAGGTTTGAGCCAGGCAGATCAGGAGCTGCAGGAAGGAGAGCAGAGTCTTCTGTGGGAATGAGTACATCTTTGCAGCATGTGTTGGATCAAAGCACCCTAAAGCACGGACGTGGCTGCCTAAAGTTTTCAGTGGAAAAGATTTTTTTTTTTGACAAAAACCATAGTTTAAATAAGATGGCTTCCTAACCAGCACATCTCTCTCACACAAGGGAGAATTTTCCGGCCTTCGAAGAGTGAAACACCTGAAAAGGACACTACACTTCCTCTACAAGCTCTTCAGGTCCTTGTCATGCTGCATTCAGAGTTCCGGATTGGGGATTTCATGATATATGGCACCATGAAAGCCCCGTGCTGCACTGCAGCACCCATGGTAAGTAGGGAACAAATGGGGCAGAGATTCCAGCCCATAGCAGTCCAACAGAGCAACATTTCTGAATCAAGTGCGTGACTTCCATCTAATTATTCCTTAACAACCTTTCCTCTGGAAGCCTCCCTGAATATAAAAGACATGCTAAATCTTCTAGAAGGCAATCCTCTACATGGGGTTCCTCCACAAACCTGAGTGAAAATTCTGGCACATAAAATGCTTAGTCATACATCCACCTCAGTCATGTCAAATACTGCTCTTTTTTTGGTATTATATCACCATTCATTGCCATTATTAGTCAGGATCTGAAAAATGAAAAATAATCTTTATCAAGAAATGTATATAATGGGAGATATTTCATCTAAGGGTTTTGATGTAGCATAGTAACAAAAGGTGATATTCCCCATTATCTTGCCAGGGCCAGTCATTTGTCATATAAATCTGCATCTATGAATATTGCACTGCAGATCTGCACCCACCTTTATTTGGAAGCCAGATGCACATTTGGAACAAGATAGAGATCGCTTCTGAATGATTAATGCAGCTGTAAACTGGGATCCATAAACTAGAATTCACAATTGCAGCATCACCATCTTAATGAAAGAATTTTCTTATTACTTCTCTTATGAGTAAGCTTCAACCTACTCTGAAAACAACAGCAATATTTGTTGTTTTATTTTTTTTTCTTTCATCAATCAATGGAAATGTGGTTATTGTCATTTGCAATCATCCCTCAGTTTTGCCATACCATTACTGCTTTTCTGCAATGCAGTATTATGCAGCAGTGAAATTGGGGAGGTGTCAGAGATATACAGAAGCAGACATCACTGCCCGTATCATAGACTTGAAAGAGTTAGATGAGATCTACTCTATCTTTCTGTTCAAAGCATAAAACACAGAAGAATACTACTATAGAATACTACTATAGAATACTACAGTACAAGTGTTTACTGCACCTTGTCCAGCCCTCTCTGAAGGCCTCTGTGTATAGATGCAAGTAAAGTTATATCAATTGCACACATTCAAATAACTCCAGAATAATATTCATTTGCACATCTTTAAAAAAAGACAAAAACTTTTTTTACTTCTTCCTATGAAGTAGCAGAAAGCCAGCAGAAAATCAGATCAGATATATGAATAACATCCAGTTAGTTACAATACAGGAACCAATCTCAACTCATTCAAGTATAATATATGACAAATTTTTCTAATCCAGGTAGGAATATCCCAGGACCAAGCACTGCTGTTTCTAGATATACCAAGAGTTATATTTCCCAGAAGACAGATCCCAATTATATCAACTAAATGTGACACAAATAAACTGTCAAAGCTTTCACAACATTTTGCTGAAAGCCAAGTCCGTTGCACATGCCACCCTCTCAGGCAGGAAGGATGCTGCTCCCCAAAGGAAGATACGGCCCTTTCCCTGTTCACAGTTTCAAAGTATCCCCCAGAGCCAAGGCAACCAGAGATGGTAGAAGAAAACCAGCCATTATTAGACTTCAGAGGGTCATGTAATCAGCCAAGGAGACATCCCCACTTCTCAAACATGAATTTACTGCAGGTTAACAGCACTGTGCTTCTAATCATAGTCATCCTAGCACAGACTCAATGTGTTTTCATTAACTTGTAACAATCAGACTTTTGTTGCATACCCATCACGTTCCCAGTATCTCTATGTGCTTTAGCTCCTGGTTTAACCCAACACGGCTGCACCAAAGTAAACTCTCTTGTACACAGCATACCAACACGAAGAGACTTCCATTTCAACCTTAATACCTCGTTCTCAATATGCAAATTCTTTGGGTATAACCCAAGGAATAGAGAGGACTGTAACACACTGTCTTACTGGGAGAATTAGTTAAATGGCATTGGGCCTGGTTTTTACCTCCCAAAATGTTTCTGCAAGGTTACTTTTTAACTCAGTCCAGCAAAACTTCTAAGTGTTTAGGAGCAAGTAGTGAGAACTGATCGTCGTCTGCTAGCATTTCCCCATTCCATACACCATTTTAGGTCCTCCTATTCCAAGAGTGAACATTCAAACCTGTTTTACCTGCTGGCCAGAGTACTGCAGCCAGGCACAGGATGTTGTATAAGCAGGATATCCATGCTTCAACGTTTGCTATTCTGGAGCAGACAGTGACTGTCTCAAGCCAGGTGGTGTTTTTGTCAATAGAGAATTATTTTGATAAATGGCCCATCAGACTGCTCTTTGGGGAAACTGAAGGAGTGGAAGTGTTTTGACCTCTTTTTTTTTTTTTTTTTTTTCTTCTTAAAAGTAATAATTCTGACTCAATAGATCAATTTTTGAATTACCCCCTCTATCTTCTCTCTAGCTATTTCATTGCAAGAGAACTGCAAATCAGAAAAATCCTTGGAAGGAGCAGAGAACAGCATGATCTCCTTGCTAACCCAACACAAACAGCTGTATGCAGCACAAACCAAATGGCTGACTTTGTGCTTCTGAGACACAAGAGAAGATGCTGGCAAACAACATCCTTCATCTCACATAGTCCCCTTCCCATTCTCCATGAGATGCAGAGCAATGGTTTTCATCCGGTGCAGATCTGCTTTGGCTCATCCCTTTCCTTTTTCCCAAGCAGGCTGTTTTGGAGCGTTTCTGCTGGGGAGCAAGCATGTATTTCAAATTACACCAAAAGATTTCTCCTTGCCCTCTGGATTTCATCATTATAATTGCCCCTCCAGCCTAAGCTGCACAGACTGGTGGGATATTCCTGAGCTACTCCCCCCAAAACTGGTGAAACAACTCAAGGATTAGGAAGAAGGAGGGTGCCAAGGTCTACCTTTGAAGGAAAGATGTCTTGCTATGAACTTTGTTAGTACACCAGCAACATATCTGAAATCTATGCAGCACAGCAATTGTTTGGCACCTTGATTTAAGGATGGCATACAAAATAAAAAGCATAGCATAACAAGACAGTTTGATGAAAACAGGTGAAGTAATGCTAGCCACTTGAGGCATGGCTATCAATCTCTTCCCTGTTCCCCGTAAGCTGGCAGGGAACTCAGACGCAGCAGCAGCTATTCTAACCCAGCCCATCAGCCTGCATTGCACTTCCAGACATGTAACTCTGTGGCTGTGAGTAGTTGATATAAACCCCGTCCTTTTAAAGTCTGTTCAAGCAGGAATGAAAAATTAAATGGGAAAGTCAAGTCAAACATCTCAGCTGTCATATTTACTCTGAGAAGCACCCTTGTTGTCACACCTCCTGCTCCCAGGGAAAAGCAGGCTCCCTTAGAACAGGAAAGTTAATCTTGGAAGTGAACAGAATTCCCCCCAAATGACCAGTCACTTCAGCAAACAGATCAACACACAAGGCCCAAGTATTTGCTAGCAGACAGTGGTAGCAAATAAAGTTCAGTTACTTAGTTTTCAGTTTTCAGTAGGGAGTTATTGTTGAAAAAAAACCCAGCCATTAAAAAAATAAATAAATAAATCAAACACCCCATTATCCAAGCTTAAAGAAAAGTAGGTCCTCTGCAAAATCACAAACAAAGACCTGCAGATTAAAGCATAATCTCTATGTACACAGTTTCCTGCTAGCTGTCGGCATTAGTTCTCATTAGCTGTGACTCCACATCTTGCACAAGGCAAACTGCAGCCACCTCCCTGGAGGAGTTCACATCAGGAGGGACATGGGCAGGGTTTGCTGGAAGGGCAGGGGATCTCTGAGCAGAAAGTAACCCCCACTGCTGGGGAAGTGGCTTGTCTCCAAAATGACCTGTGAGAGCATTTCAGTTGGAACATGGTGCCCAGTTGCCTTTAAACTGGAAATACAAGAAGATTTCCTTACCATGACACCTACTGACTTCCACAGAAGCCAGAAGACAAAACAGATTGAGTAACTGGAACCACATGGACGCCATAAAGGAGGTGACATGCAGATGCTTTTTTCTTCATTGAGGAAATGTCACAAAGTGCAAACATGTTTACAATTGGCACACAAAATTAATTACTGACAGCAAAGCAATGTGTTTCTCAACCCCAGGCAAGAGCATTTGATGCTTTCCCCTTAAAATCATTAAGGCTTGAGCATCCATCTTGGTTTCATTATGGAAGCAATATTGGTGGTTATTAAAAAAGAAGAAAAAGAAGTGAGCCTCATCAGCGAGGCTGACCTTCCCCCATGCTCCTCTCCCTTGCTGGAAGGCATTGCTGTACAAATGACCCTTTTTACATTTAAGATACCTCTTTGTAAGTTTTTGATAAACCTTTTCTCAGGACCATGTTACAGTCCTGGACTTTGGTGAGGTGAAGGCTGCTGACCAATTTCCTGGGGAATGATACCCAAAGGCTCCATCTGACAGAGCTGAAGTGAGGACAAGAGTGGATGCTGGTAGCCCCGAGCCCATGGGCCTGCCCCCCTGCAAGCTGCGTGCTCAGGGTAGAGCCGCATGGCACAGGAGCCAATTTCTGCCCAAATAAGCTATTTTTAATCTTCAGTAACATGCTAAGTATATGAGATTTGGCTCCTGGATCAAGAGCATAGTCAATAAGGAAGTGACTAAAAGATTGAAATCTCAGATAAGAATCTCCAAGTGAGAATGACAAAATCAAGAGAGGGGCATACAAAGAAATATCTGAGAAGCAGAGCTACGCAAAAATCTTTTCTTTCAGCATAAGCTTCAACAAAATCACCCTGAAATGTTCTGATCAGTTCCACTTCTAAGCAATGCACAGTTGTTGCAGCCTTCCACACTGCAAACTTAGTCCTGTGCTGACTCCAAGAACTGTGATGCCTGTACTTTATCTGATATTTTAGAGCCAAACATATGTAGAAATTATGACAAAATCAAGACCAGATGTGCAAAAGAGGACAACCAGGAGTGGGGAATATCTCAGGATTAATGAGAAGCCTTACATTCAGGCCCCATGAGTGTTATCTTTCCCTCTTGCTAGGCCTACAGATCCCACAGAGCGTTCAGGACAGCAGCGGTGGCCAAGTGCACAGCACCTTTCTCTGGTCCGATTTGCTGAGCACACAGATATGCATGCACCAGTGGTATCCACAGTGCTTTGATACTCACCAGTGCCTCTGTTTCTGTTAAATGACATTTGTTTCCCCAAAGGTTAAAACACATCAGTGCAGATAACACAAAAATTATGGACAAAATAGATGCTGAAACATGCAGTTGGTATCAACCACCCATCCGGAGTGCTCTCAGCGGTCATTTTCACACTTCCCGCCCTTAGCACCTTATGCGTTCAGAGTTTCCAAGAATAAAACCTGCAATATTTTGTGACAATGCACAGCCTGCACATTTGTTATCTTCCGTTTCACGACAGCACCCCCAGCACATCTCACCAGCAGAGCTGTGCCTTGCTGGTGAGCTCGCTGTGGAAGCCAACAGAGCTGTTGGCAATTTCTTCCATGGCTCTTTTGAGCACTGGTAGCACAAGCAACTTCAAAGCACACTAGGATTTCCTGACTCAATACAGCAAAATACCAGCAGCAGAACGACTGGGGCCCTATCTGCAGGTGATGCTGAGAGAAGTAACCCTTTCCCTGCGAGCCTGATGTATCAGTGTTGAACCACTCACTTGGCACCCAGGTCTAGGTGGCCACTCTCTGTCTAGTTGCATGGCCATGTTTCATCTCACACTTGTCTGTTTCTGGATGCTGATCCCTTCCTCAAAGCATGTATTAATTACAAAAGGCTTCCAAGAGGAAGAGTTTCACTTGTATCCCTTCTGCCACATAGGGAAACAAAACTGCCACCGGTGTAAGCTCTAAACCGATGGCCCAGGATGCTGTGGAAGAGACAGAGGCTGTTGTATCCCATCTCCTTTGGAAAAAGCAGCACTTCTATAAATGCCTTCCCCTGCAAGTAACTGCAGCATCTCCCAGAGCTGTTCTGGTACTCGTACTGAGTCTAAGGAATACAGGACCATGAGTCCAGTTCTGTAAGGTCTCTCCTGTTCAGAGTATTTGTTTGAGATCCAAGAAACTACTTGTGTAGGTGTCTCTTTGTGTGATTCTGGGCAAGACACTTGCCTGTGCCTCAGTTCCTCCACTGTTCCCACCTGAACTGTGTGGAGTACATCCCATCCCACTTGCCTTGGATGCAACGAATCCCATCCTAGGGTGACTGAGGTCATGCAGGTGTGCAGGCAGGTCATACCAAGCTCATTTCACATGTAAAGATGGAAGGATGTTCAGCATCTTGCATCCCTGGGGCTGGAGCAGCAGGTAACAGGCAAGGAGGATTGCAGGCTCAAATCTTAGGCTGACTAAAAATAATAATGAATCCTTACAGAAGCTTAAAATAGCTGAGTGGGTAGTTGCCAGATTGCTAGTTGAATTTATATATATGTGTGTGTGTGAGTGTGTGTGTTGAAGTTTAGCTATAAGAAACAATTGCAAAGGTAGGCTGAGAGAGGAAAAGCCATGATATCATGAGGCCACAGATCTGTGGGTGTTCAGCTGATTTCTTGGAGGTTTTTTTTGGAGCTATGCAGCAGTGTCAGTGAAACACCAGACTAGAGTGGCAAAGGAATTGCTTGTACTGCGGCCTAGGGCACCCACTGGCTGAAAAGGGTAACAGAAAGGCCTTATAAAATACTGCTGCAAACCAATACTGTATGAAACACACAAACAAACAAACAAAATCCCATGCAACTCAGCTCTGCCTCTGCATGACAGCATGGCCTTTTGCATGCACAGGAGAGAGGAGATCCTTAGCTACCCTCCCAGGAGGCGAGAAGCACAGACTTCTGCTTTGAAAGTGCAGCTGGTGGCAGGACGGGGAATGAGTGACCCCACAGAGGAAGAGTTCTGTATAAACAAGGGCGATGCTTACATAAATAAAAACACTAAGTAGAAACCCCATTCAACCCACACTGATCACAATTCTAAAAAGAGTTCCCTCATGTATTTTTTGCTTGGATTTCTATCCGCGCTGTCAGGGCTGCATCATGCCCCAAGGTCCCTTACAGACCCCCGTCCTGAGGCAAGGGGTGACAGGTCCAGATGTGGCAGCAGGATGGGAAGTGCCCACCCCATGCATCTGGGCTGCACCTCAGCTGGGCCCAGGCTGAGCGTGACAGGGGCTGGCAGGGTTTAATCCAGGTTTTTCCATTTTTCAGAGTAGGTCAGGTGTCTGCTGTGGGGCATAATGGGAAATTACTGCAGGCTTTCCTTAGGAAATCCCATCTTTGAGACCAGGAGTCTTGTTTGATAGGAGGTACTAAAACTCGCCCATCTTCAAGGTAGCTCCCAAGCCCTATATTTTGTCTGCTGCTCAGTCACAGTCTTCAGCTTGATCCTGGATTAGTCAAGATACCTTGCCTTGATTTCCCATTTGGAGATAATGAAACCAATCTCATTGGTCTCATTGGAAATGCTATGTTGGGTATAGAAATGCTATAAACACTATGGGGTAAGATGGTAGATGCCTTGAAACCCCAAAGAGAGATGCTGCCTGTCAGTAGGTTTCCACTACTGCCCGGCAGAACAGTGTCAATTTTGGGATGAAGAACAGATGAGGGTTGTGCCAGCTTGTTGCTAATCTAAGAGCACCTGCACAAAGCAGGCTGGTCTGTCCAAGAGGATTTGTATCTCATTAACCTCCTGAATGCCATCAGCCATCCCTGAACTGCAGAGACCGTCATTCCTTCTTACCTACCTCAATAGACAGTTGAACTTGGGGCAAATCTATTGTTAGGTATATGTGGGCTTGCTCACAAAATATTGAACAACATTTTGAAAAGGCTGGGGCCATTCTAATGACAGTGGCACCAGGGATTATATTTAGCCTAACAGTAGTCCGATTATTATGATCTTAAACCTGATGAAGCTGAACTTTGGTGTTGTATGAAAAAATATCTTTCTTTGTAAATGGCTGTCCTTTGATACAGGTGGCAAGATGAAACGCACTGATTTTGATGGGACGACCTTAACAAATAGCACTGAATGAAAATGTAAATACTGAAAGCATTTCTACTGTACTTTGCAGTCCTTTAGCACGAAGAATATACATTTATGCCAGTCATAAGCCAGTTTGAAAGAGACAGTCACTCCTCAGTGCTTCTGAACACTGAAACAGAGAAGCACCATCAGCCACCAACCCCCTGGAAGACTGCCCTAAATGTGAATGAGCGTGGGGGTACTGAACAAGCAGTGAATGCAGCACGTGGCACCTGTTGAGGCCCAGGAAAAAAGGGAGTTGTTAGCACAGACGGGATGGATTTTCAGGGATCCATCTGCCAGCATGCACTTATCAGTAGCCTCGGGGAGAGACTCAGTGACCTAGCAGCAGGGCACAAAGGAGAGGGGTGAAGTCTCCCACTGCGAGTAGCTTTCTGATAGAAAAGGGAATGCTTTCACAGCAGTTAGCTCCAGTGCTGGTGCATGACTGATTCATCATGAATGCTTGTACTCAGGTTTCCCTTTTAAATTTGCAGTCTGTTCTTTAGGCCCTGCTGAGTTTAACTAGGTAACTGTCTCCTCTCCTTTAGGGAGAACAAATCAAAAGCAGCACAAGGGCCAACGCGTGTTTCTACTCAAAATAAATGAAATGCCTGGGGGAGACGGACCGTGCTTTATAAAAGCACACAGTGCTTTGAATAACTCGATGCCCCCAATAATAGTGGGTTTTACACTTTACCAATAAATATAACTTCAAATTTAAAGAAAACGTTTAAAACAGCCAATGTGTTATGCCCAATAAGCAAATGTTTGCATGCAGAACTGACAGGAGAAATGAGCTCAGTGGG